AGGAGCAGGAGCAGGAGCAGGAGCAGGAGCAGGAGCAGGAGCAGGAGGAGCATGGTCCGCAACAGTTGGAGCAGCACGGCGTGGTAGCGTCTGCGCCCTCACTCGCCGCACCAACCTTGGAGTTGCCAGCAGTTGTGCCTGTACAAGCAGCACCAAGCATCCTCTCCATCCCAGCAGATGAGCCTTCTCTGCCCGAATGGCTGTTGCCTTGGAGAGACCCCGAGCAGAGAGTGGAGCCGGGTCTGGATGGTTGGGAGCCGACACCTTACCACGCGTCTGAATCCTCAGACTCTGACCCGGATTCGGGCTCTGAAGAGGCAGATGAGATTCAGTCCGCATCACGCGCACCTAAAACATCTGGCATTGCACAACCGCAAGCGAGCTCCGAGGGAGAGGAAGCCGAAGTTGCAGAGAGCTTGAAATCTGTCCCGGATCGTTCTAACGCTGATCCTGCCACAGACCATGTCACACGAGCCGAGGTCACTCATCCTACATCCAGCTCGGGTGCTTCACTGCCAGGACAAGGCAAGAGCTCGGCTGCAGAAGATTTGGGCGTCGGCAAGTCGCCTGCTGCAATGATGCCGGCTGTTCAAGAGGCGGAATTGGCAACGCATGACGACACAAGACTCGAAGAAGACGAGGTTGAGCAGTCGCAAGAGTCAATGGACGCCGACATCCGCCGCACTGAAGACGACGAGGTCGAGGAGGAAGCCGAGGCAATGGAAGAGGAGGCTGAAGACTGGGGCGAAGGCTACGAATGGTACAATGACGAGTGGGAGCGCCAAATGCTGGGCGAAAACGCGAAACCAGGTGTTGCGTCCGCCGTCATGGCCATGCTAGCGGCCGGCATTGGGCAAGACAGTGACGAAGAGGCGGAAGATGAAGACCAGGCAGCGCGTACCACAGAGTTGGACTCAGATGGACGGGTCGTCAGATCGCTGACGCACGATGAGCTCTGGGCAGACGAGGCAATGACAAGCGCGTTCTCAGCCGCCGTCGACCAATTCAAAGCCCTGCATAGCTTGGGCCAAAATGGCCTCGTCATCAGCGCCTCAGACTCGCCACCGCCTGCTTCGAATCTCACTCCCAGCGCGCTGTGGTTCGACGCCCCCCCACCTGAATCACGCGCTGCCAAAAGCGCACGCAAAGCTGGAAACGCGTCGGCAAAAGCGAGAAAAGAAGAATCAAAGGCCGCACGAAGACACGCGCAGGAAACGAAAGTAGCTGCAAAAAAGGAAGCCAAGCGGCAGCAGGCGGAGCTAGACGCCAGATACGCGCAGGCTATGGAGGAAATGCAGGCGCAGAGGCAAATCGTCGCGGCTTTGCAGCCTGCTGACAATCAGCCACCGGCTGCAGACTCGGTATCCGACTCTAAGATGGCAACGCCTTCCTCAAACGCCGAAACTTTGAATTCGGGACCGAAGAGAAAGATCAAAGGTAAGTTGTAAAGCTCGCAGCGCAGACTCCACCTGATATCCTCGCTTCACACCTTTTCTCATACGATGCCGTTTCAGGCACGATCCCCCCTTCAACGCCTCTGTCGGGTAGACCGGCGTGGCTCGCGGCCTGCGCAACCGTCTCGAGCACTCCAAATCGTGTAGCTGGCGTTCAATGCGGTGGTCCGAATACGTCCAGTACCGCCACCGCGACGGCGCTGGGCGGGGAGCAGACCTCGTTAGCGCGTGCAGATGCTTCTGCTTCAGGTCGCGCCGCACCAACAACTACCGCCCAACGCCACGACCCCGAGCTACTGCAGTCACTGGCTCACGCGTGGTACTATGCAGGCTACTATCAGGGCATTGCAATGGCGAAACATCAAAGCTAGTGGCCTTGTGGGTCGACCCGCCCAGGCGTGGCCCCCCTTCATTTAGATTACGAGTCGGGTTTCGAGCAGAACGACGAAGGGCTTGGTTGTGTCTCGGAGGGTGAAAGCCGTCGATCGCTGAACACACTCTTGCACAGATGGCAAGGTGACAGCTGTCCTCATTCCGACTTGAAGACGACGC